AAAATTCGTTTTTTTTTTTTTTTGTTAAATAAACATCTAGTCAATTCTGAGTTTTTTTTCAATACACCTTGTTAGTGTATATGTGAATTCTAGACGGTTCATCATAAATCTCGTCCTCTCGAATAAAGGCCCTCACTCTAGGAAGAGGAAGCTCACTAGAAGAGTTTGTTGGGTGAGACCATCTTGTGGATGGCTCAAATTTAATTTTGATGGTAGCCTTAAAGCTCATGACTCTGATGGTGTGGTTATTTGGAATTATCAAGGTAGGTCCCATATTTCTGAAATCAATGAGATTGAACCAAGGGCTCTAAAAGAAGGGGTCATCAAACTGCATCCAAACCTTGAGAGAATCATTGTTGAGGGGGACTCAACAAACGTTATATCCTAGTGCAGATGTCCAAACTCGGTGCCTTGGGCCTTAATCTCTACTATGGACTCCTTTGTCTCGGGTCTGCACAGCAAGGAGGTGGTCTTCAACCAAGTCTTCCACAAGCATAATATGGAGGCTGATCATCTTGCCAAAGAGGGAGCTATGTTGTAACTGCTTTGTTCTCTTTTTTTGTTTTTCCTTGTTTTCCTTGGCAAGAGGGAGCTATGTTGTAACTGCTTTTTTCTCTTTTTTGTTTTTCCTTGTTTTCCTTGGCAAGAGGGAGCCATGTTGTTACTGCTTTTGTCTCTTTTTTGTTTTTCCTTGTTTTCCTTCTTTGTTTCTCTGTATCTTTTCATTTACTCAATGAAACTAACCACTTCAAAAACAAAAGGTGTTTTAACTGAAATTGTATTTTTACATGACCACTTCAAAAACAAAAGGCGTTTTAACTGAAATTGTATTTTGACCTTTTTACCCTTCCCTCTTCCCATTCGAACTACCCATCTATCCCCCTTCTTTTTCCCCTATTGTCATCTCATATCTCTTTCCCCCAATGACCTCTCTCTCTCTTGAGTAGAGGCATCAAAGGGAATGAATGCTATTTATCTCTCTTCCCATTAAAACCCTAATCTTTCCCTCTCCTTCCTTTTTCTTTCTAGCACTTTCGCCCCTTCAACTTCAAAGGTTGCTGTCTTGAAACTGGAGTAATGAAATTTTAGGGAAAATATTTGTAGTAAGCTGCATTAGATACAGGGTGGAGTTTAATTAGATACAGGGTGGAGTTTATGTAAGGTTGCAACTTTAAACAATCCAATTAAGGCGTACCTTAAAATCTTATTCTAACATGTAATTTTGTTGTAAAAAATACTTAGTACTATCTTAAAATCTATTTTCATACCTAATTAAAAAATTTTAAATTTAAAAAATGATTAAAATCAAGTAGATCTATAAATATATAAAAATCTTGAAAATGGATGGTCTAGATAATGTGTTACAAGATGCATTATTTTGGGTACTCAACAACATTTTTTTTCATATTCATGCATCTCCATGTCGAATGATCCATTAGAGGGTATTTTCAATATTAAAACAACATTTCCGATAGATTTTTGAGGTGCATGTGATTCTACAATTTAAGGTTGCAACCTTATATGAACTTTTCCCTTACATAAATGAATGATAGAGATGCTTAGTCAAGGAAGAGGAATCAACAGAAAAAAAGGAAATACAACACAAAATTGCAGGGCTTGAGTTTTCGCTTTCATTGATGGTGCAGAGCAAGGGAGGGAAAACTAAAGGTCGACTGGGTAGTCTCCCAACCAACAAATACTTAAAAAGAATGCGCAAGATGATGCTAAGAAAAAACCAGCATGTGCGAAAAAAATGATACAACACCTAAGCTCTTTAGCGGTTGAAGATGGTGAGGAAGAGGGAGAAAGGTTAAGATTCAAGAAGAGGGCAGATCATCTCTTTAGCGGATACATGTGTGGGTTTTGTACGAAAAGATAGTATGGGTTTTTCCACATAGCTTTAGCTTCAGGGAGCAATACATGGTTTTTAATATTGTTTTGCAGAGATATTGCAAGAGGGGGAATATGTTTGGTTTTGAAAAGCGAGCTCTGTGTCTGAGAGAAGCGAGAAAAAAGAGGTAATGATGGGTTTTTTATTTACAGTTAAGTGCAGGAGCGTGAGAAAAGGGCAAAGGCCACAGGCCACAGGCCACAGGCCAAAGGAATTTTTCGGAGACCCGGCTCCTAGGCCGCCGAGCCCACTTAGGTAGAAATGCAAGCCTCTTAATAAATCTATTTTTGAGATAGATTTTAAGACTTAGTCCGTAAGGATATGTAATCTCTATTATGGAAATTATTGAAAAGATGAATAAATTTTAAAAACTAGAAATAATAGTTCTAAAAAGAAAACATTTGGACTTAGTTTCCATTGTTTTAGATGGAATACCTACTTGGATACTTTACACTTTCTAGACCACATATGTAGAAAAGTGGTCCAACCGGCATGAAACAATTTTCCATTTTCAAAAGAAAGGATACGGAATGTTTTATACACATAACATGGTGTATTGAAAATTGATAGGATCATTCCCCCATCAAAAATATTCGTCGCCCACAAAAAAAAAAAAAGCCAAATGATACTCAGGAGTATATTGTTCATCATTTACTCTCACAGGTAAAACACACCAAGCATTAGTTTTAGGACCCCAAATATTGGGAATATAACTTCTTTAATTCATAGATCATCCTCAATAAAAATAAAACTAAAAGGATAAAGAGAAAAAAAATGTAATCGAACCATCTATCTTAGAAAAAAAATATATCTCAAGATTAAATAGAAATCATCTTTTAGAAGGTGAGAACTTTGTATTAGAAAACTCAAAGTTCTAACTATTTTGTTTTTTAGAATAATCATCTAGTGGTATGGTTACCAAATTTTCAGATCGAAAAACTCTTCGCAAATAGGTCATCTAATTGAGGGAGTAAAAATAAACTATGCGCCCAAAAGAGCATAAGATACGTGTTAAAAAGAAAAAGAGTGCGGCTTCACTTTCTTCTCAAGAGCCTAATTCTCGTCTTGAGTTTTTAACCTTTTTTTATCACTATAATATAAGTGTGGTGTGTACATAGACAGGTTTTAAACAATCAAAGTAAAACGCACTTTCAAGTAGTGTCCGATAAATGTGGTTTCAATACTGAAAATCTTTATGAATTGTGATAGCTTTAAAATATATTTTTTGTTTTTAATAATAAAATTTAAACCTTAAAAAATGATGTAGATCGATAACATATATAAAAACTTAAAAATATAATCAATTTGAGCATATTTGTCCTTCAAAACCACCGCTTCTAATAAATTTTTTGATATAAGCTTTAATTTGATTGTTTAAAGCCTTGGATCGGTATGAACTTTTTTTTCAAAATATAACAAAATGTTATTGCTGTGCGCACCACGTGCCCTCTAATTACTTCTCATCCTATCTATTTATACTTTCTCCATGGAGGCATGCGCCCTCCATGATTACGGAGAGAGAACATTTGCGCCTCTCTTTCTCTCTCTCATGATTATAGAGAGACCTTATCCCCCCACCCTCACTACTTTTTATGTACTCCCATGATTTTTTAGCCGAAGCACATGACTAAGGAATTATATTTGGGCACGGTTGCTATGCGGCCAGCCCGAATATGTTTTTTAAATATAATTTGATTTTAATATTTAAAGGATATATAATCTTTTATATGAAGATCGTGAATATGAAAAAAATTAAAAAAATTAAAAATTAACAATAATAATTATATTAAAAAACCATTTGGATTATAAGTTACACTTGTTTTTAAATGGACAAACTATTTGCATTCATTTTTAAAATGGATGCTTTATACCTCTATACCTTTATCTAGACCTTCTATCTTACCTTAAAATTAAGTGTTCATATATCCTCCAAAGGTATAGAGTGCCAATGGAGGCTTTATCCACATGTAGTGGCACTAAATATAAGAGTGCCGCTAAAGACCGTTAGCGTATGAGTTCCAATAGAATGTTTTATCTAGACTATTTATTTTACCATAAAAATAAATGTTCATATATCCATAAGATTTGCATCATTTTTTTGCCTTCAAATTCTATTGTTAATGTTGGAAATTGATTTTAAAGCCATATTTTCATAGCCAAAAGTACTTTTTGGATATAGATTTGGGGTGAGGCTTTATTTTGTTTTCATAAAGCTAAGCCTTATCGTTCTTATTATTATGTTATACTTCACCCCCAAATGATTTCTTGCTCCCATGTAGTATACTATCCATTTGTACCGTCGAGTAATACCGAAGCGGATAATATTTTTAGGATTCTAAATTTTAGAGATGGAACCTCTTGAAAATTGCCACCAATCTTGAAAAAAAGAAAAATGGATTGATAGGGTAGCAGTCCTATCAAAATAAGTAAAGCCTCACCTCATAAAATCATGAAAATTTGCAATTGAATCATAGAAAAACTTTTACATCTCCACTTTGAACATTATAGTTGGTAAAAAATATTTAAAATTTAAATATATAAAAATAGTGTATATTGTGACAAATTATGTAGACAGTTCATTTTGCCCTCAAAATCAGTGTTCGGAGATCAATGCTATATTTTGAGTTTCAAATTTTATTGCCGGTCTTGAATATTGATTTTAGAGCCGAATGAGAATTTGAGGTGAGCCTAGAAACTTCATCCTTTTTTTGAAAGTAAACATCCACTAAGTCCCAAATTTTCACAAAACAAAATTATTCTCAGCATGCTCCCCCAGGACCATCCTAAAGTCACCATGTGAAAACCATTTTTTTGGGGTTAAATTGGAGGTGCAGATTCACTTTCTTTCGTAAGGCCTAGGCCTCATCTCAGCCCTTCTCGATCACCATAATATTGCAACATGGGCTGCTAACGATAATGGATGTGAATATTACTAGACTGTGCTGACCACGTGCCCCTGCTTTTACCCTCATCCTCTCACTTCTACTTTCTTTGTTGACCCATTCGCCCGCCATGATTCTTCCTCTCTCTGTCTCTACTTTTTAAAGTTTTTAAAATCGCATTTCTTTATTCATATCCATTGGCATTCATCCATTAAGAGTCTTTCTTTAACACATCAGTCATGACTATTCACCTCAAGTGTCTATAAATGCCCAACCCACCATGGTCTCTTTTTACACCGGAGGGTCCAGTAACTGTAAAATCGAGGCTCTTATCTCTCATATCAATGGCGGTTTCTAAAGTGTTTTTGGTGTTATTGCCCCTGGCTTTTGTGGTGGCTATTTCCACCATTGCAAGAGCTCAGACATCTGAGCCTCCTATTGTGAAGGGGCTCTCATGGAGCTTCTATGAGTCCTCATGCCCTGACCTTGAAGAAATTGTTAGAAACAGACTCAAACAGGTCTTCAAAAAGGATATCACACAAGCTGCTGGCTTGCTCCGTGTCCATTTCCACGACTGCTTTGTTCAGGTGACTCTTTTTAACTTTTACCTTTGTTTTTTTCTTTTTTTGGTAATTCACTATGGAAGCCGTACCTATTTTTTCAAAGGGTGCCGTTTGTATAGAGCCAGGCTTTAAACAATCAAAATTCGAACCTACTTTCAAATAGTATCGAGAAATGTGGTTTCCATGCTGAAAATATTTGTGATAGTTTTAAAATATATTTTTATTTTTAATTATAAAATTTAAAGCTTAAAAAATAGTGTAGGTCGAGCATATCTAAGAAAACTTGAAATCTATTTTTTTTCATATGTCCATGCTTCTTGATGTTGAGGTGATCAATTTGAACATATTTGAGCATCAAAGCAACCTATTCTAATGAAATTTTTGAGGTGGGATCCAATTTAATTGTTTAGAGGCTCGCTCCATATAAACTTCTCTCTCTATGTGATTGTTATCTGGTTGGTCTTGTAATTATGTGGATTGTTTGTCTCAATGCTTCCTTCGCTTTCTGGTTAGTACATTGTTGGTTTGTATCTACGTGAGTTCTCTCTCTCTCCATGTCTAACCCTGGCCCGAGGGTAGGGTAGGTCCAAGCCACGTTATGACCAACCCTTAGGGTTAGGGCTGGACTTGGGCCGGCCCGAGGAGGACCAGGGCTGGTTTTGGTAGGGCTTGACGTCAATAGAGCTAGCCCAGAACAAACATGCCCGCTGCCAGCCCTATTATTCGATTATTGGTTAGGGTCCCGGCCCTCTCCATCTCCATTGCCTCGTTTTGTATGGTTCTGAATACTCTCTCACATTATTCAAAACCCAAAAAAAAAAATCTCACTTATTTCTTCGAAAATGGGTTACTTATGAGCATGATAAATCATCTCTATTGTCCATTTTGATTTGATTATTTATGAGTGAAAAATGTGTGTTTAGGGTTGCGATGGGTCGGTATTGTTGGAAGGTTCAGCAAGCGGACCCGATGAGAAGGATGCACCCCCCAATCTCACTCTTCGTCCCGAAGCATTCGAAATCATTGAGGATTTGAGAAAAAGGGTTCACAAGAAGTGCGGCCACACCGTCTCTTGCTCAGATATCACTGCCCTCGCTGCTCGTGACTCTGTTTTCCTCGTATGACACCCTCTCCCTCTCTCTCATCTATGCTCATGTATCATGTACAATGTTCACAAACTCAGCTAGTCCTGCTTCGAACTAGGCGTTGCGGATCTGGTTTTCGCCGGTTTTGGTGATTTGGGTATTCTAAAAAAATAAAATAAAAGAATATATATATATATATAATCCTAAAAAATAAGGGATTTTTTTCTTATGTGTTTTTTAATGTTTTTAATCATTTTGACAAATATTGGAAATTGTTCTCGCCTTGAATATTTATTTTCACATTTTTTTATTCTTTTTGAAAAATTTTAAAAATACCTCTAGATACGAATCAATTTTTTAAAATCCATTTTTTAAATACTTTTCATATTTCAGGTGCATGGGCCTCGTTTAATCACATTTTAAGAAAAAGTATGGATTGAAACCGTTTATATTTGATACAAGGTGGTCATAATTAATATTGACCATTGGATGTAAAATTGGTGGTTGTATTTATTCCATTCACTAAGCTCAAACTTCAAAAGAATTTTCTCACATTTTGTGATGCACCCAAGCTATCATATTTTACAAACTTCAAAAGAATTTTTTCACATTTTGTGACGCACCCAAGCTATCATATTTTACATTGAATGGTTGTAAGTAATTGTGATCACTTTGTATCAAAAGTAAATGTTCTCTTCGTATACAATCTCGTACTTTAAATATATTTTTCATAACTTATTTATAAAATTCTTTTGGACCTGCCCATTAGGCCGGCAGCTCGATTTTTTTAACACTGCTCGTGTATCATTATCCTCACTTTCTTTGTTTTTTATAACAAGCGCGCATCAGGTGATGGTGCTAACCCCCCAAAACAAAAAGGGAGTTTTCTTTACTTTTTCAATCAACCTTTTCTTTTTTCCATTTGCTTCAGAAAAAACGAATTTTATAAAAAAAGAAATATTTGGAGTGAAGAAGTGCTCCAAGAAGACAGTCTTTGAACTAATTGACGACGAAAAATCATTTTTTTTAAGTTCTTGAAAGTAATTTTCCAAAAAATCAATAATGTGAAAGAAAGATTGAACGGAAAATTGTTCTCTTGCCAAAAGTTTTTTTTTGGGGGAAAAAAAAAAGTTTCTTTTTAAGAGAAAATTTTCCACTTGCCAAAAGATTTCATTCTCCCATCGAAGCTTATTGTCCATTTACTCTCTTAGGTAGCACCCAATCATGGAGTAATTGTATGATCCCTAATTTTATGGATGCAACGGTTAATGTCAATTAAAAAAATTCTAAATATATGAGTGGCAAGACAAAAAGAGATATGATTCCAAATGAATACATTTGGGATAACTTAGGTGTGGCTCCAATAAGCATTAACATGAGATAAATTAGATTTAGGCAAGCTGGCCATATGCAATGCATACCCAATGCAACACCTATTGTTAGGAGGTGCGACCTATTGTTAGGAGGTGCGAGTTAGTTCAAGTGGAATGCTAAAAAAGAGCAATAGGTAGGCCTTGAGAACATAGTTAAATTTAGTGAGAAAATATATAAGGATTTATGGCTTCATTAAGGACATAGCCCTTGATAACCACGATTCGTCTAGCTAACTGCAAATAGTTGAAAAAGGCTGTGATGATGATGATGAAATGGTACTCTTTATATATTTGAAAAAAAAAAATGTCTCTAGATTAAACAGAGACCATTCAATTTTGTAAAGGTGAGATCTAGGTGTTAGAGAGCTTAAAATTCAAAAATTTTACTTTAAAAATAATCATCTAGTAATTCTTAGGTGGATTCCAAAATTTTGGATTGAAAAAATCCTCGTAAATAGATTATCTAGCCCAAAAAGAGTAGGTGTATGTTATACTCCCTCAGACGAGAATGATACATGGTCTCTTTTCTTATTTGATGTTTTTAGGGGTGCTACCACTGGGCTAGATTATATAATCTCTTTTTTTGGGTTAACATCACTTAAACCTCTTCACTATATTATGCTATTTATCACTAGGGAAAGTATAAAGAGACCACTTACCTACCTTTGGTACAAGTTGGTCTCAATTAATCTTGATCATTGGATGTGAAATTGGTGGTTGCGTTTATTTCATTGACCAGCTCAAAGTTCAAAAGAAATTTTTTTGAACTTTGTAACACATCCAAGCTATCATATTTCATATAAGTAAGTGTGACCTCCCTATACCAATGATAAATGGTTTCATTGTATACTATCCCTTATCGCTATAATAATTACATCTTTAGTATTTTTAAAAAAATTCTAAAATTTCTTCTAGTTCTCAAACCTACACACACCAATGCATTTTGGTAATTTGGCACCAGTTAACTTGCCCAAGTCAAATAACAATAATACCAATGATTTATGAGGGTTAGTAGCACAAAAATTTTGAAATAACGATTAGATCCCAATTCTCAAAGCTGAACTCACTTTTGTTTTATTTGTAAGCCCTTGTTTTGTTTCGATTGTAAGCCCTTGTTTTGTTTCCCAACTCTAAATGATAATTTAACTCGGACCACTATATGAAACAACTATGAAGATGCCCCTAATCGTTCACAGTTACTTTAATGGGGGGGGTTAATTTTGGGTAGGTACGTTAATAGGCTGTGTATAGGCCAGCAAGCTCACGCCGAACCCGGCTCAAAACCATGTAAGGGTCCCAGCCTGTAGTCCGCCTACGTTTGTCATGGGGCCGGTCAGATCTGGCCTTATAATAGCATAGGGAAACTTCTTTTCACAAAGTGTATTAAAAATATTTGGGCTGGGAAAGCCTACGCCTGGCCTGAAAAAACTTCGGGCCCCAAGCCCTGCCCGTCCCCCTTGCTGGCATTAAAATATGGCCCGAACCCAGCCCCAAACTTTGCCTGTCTTGAAAGCCCATCGGCCGGCCTCACCTTGTTAGCAGCCCTAATTGTAAAGGTATTATGTGACTTGAAAAGTAAACATTCTTGTGGTGGTTGTGATCATTTTTTACGACCTTAGTGATGGTGCAAAGGAGCTTGAGGATTTCAACTATATTTGTTTGTTTTTTGTTTTTTTGTGGCTTTGTTGATTTTGTCCCATAAAAATATGAGAAAAGTTTCTATACTTCCCCTACAACATAAAAGATATATGCTTCCCCTCCCATCCAACCATTTAATTTATATAAAGTGAGTCACTCACTGTTTGATCTAAATCTTAGTCTTAGAGTATTTTATTTTTATTTTTTTCTACAAATTGTATGATCATGAAATTTGATACGTATCATCTTCTCAATGGGGTGCGCCTACGAAAAATATTAATTTTTTATAAAATATAATAATCAAAATACCCCTTGACATTTTCAAGGGTATTTTAGTCATTTTATTTTATTGGATATATTTGTTTTATATTTTTTACAAGTGCGGGTTTAAGAGAGGAGTGGACTTCCAAAATTTGGTGTTAAAATAATTTTAAAAAAAAATTAAAAATTAAATGGTGTAGAAACGTGACATTGTGATTGAGGCTATCTCAGTCGTTTATTCAGAATAAATGGTTGGATAAGGAGTAGTATATAAGCCTTGTGATGTAGGGAAAGCACAAAAAGCTTGCCCTTAAAATATATTAGGGGGATCAACAATTGATCTGTAAGGGTATTAGAGATAAAATGTTTATTGATGTGCCCATACATTTACCATGTATACTATTGTGTATGGAAGAATGTAGTCTTTAGGATCATCAGAGTCCATTGTAATGATGGATGGGGATGGAGAAAAGTGGCAGTCACTGCAACAAGGCATGATCTTTCTCTATTCAAGGAAGAACAAGTAAATAAGCCATTATCTCTGTCTATAATATAAGGGAAGAGCAGAAGCAAAATAAAGCTAAACAAGAAGGGTGCGGTTTGTATGGAGCCGAGGCTCTAAACAATCAAATTGAAGCCTATCTTCAAATAGTATCAAGAAAAGTTATTTTAATATTAGAAATCTTTGTGATAGCCTTCAAATATATTTTTATATTTAATTATAAATTTTAAAGCTTAAAAAATAGTGTAGATGACAACTTGAAAATCTTGAAAACTGACCGTCCAAAAACCCGTTACAAGATGCACTATTTCCAAAACTTGAAATCTATTCTTTTTTTCGTATATTCATCTTGATGTTGATATGATCAATTTAAGGATATTTGGACATCAAAACAACCTCTTCTAGTAAAATTTTTGAGGTAGGCTCTAATTTGATGGGTTTGAGCCTCAGCTCTATATAAACTTTTCCCAAAAAACAAATAGTGGCAAAATAAATAAATCTCTCTTATAAGGAAGACTAAAAATTTACCTGTTAAATTTAAACAATCATCTGTGTATGATTGAGGACTGGTAATGTATCTCTTTAAAATGATGCACACAACACGACAGATGAGGATGATAATATATCTCTTTAAAATGCACAACACATTCCCACTGTCGATGCGTTGCACTCACTTGAAACTCTTCTGTATCGTTCCAATTTTATCGTATGTCTTGGAGACTTGAAATTTTCATCCATATGTGCAGGCAGGAGGCCCCTTGTACCCCATTCCCCTAGGCCGACGCGACAGCCTCAACTTTGCCACCCGGGATGCAACTTTGGCGAACCTCCCAGGCCCGACCTCCAACACCTCCGACCTCATGAAAGCCTTCACCAATAAAAACCTGGACGCCACCGACCTCGTCGCCCTATCAGGCAGCCACACAATCGGCATCTCCCACTGCTCCTCGTTCTCCAACCGCCTCTTCCCCTCCCAAGACCCCACCCTCGACAAAACCTTCGCAAAAAACCTCTACAAAACTTGCCCCACTTCCAATGCCAATGCTACCACTGTGCTTGACATTCTAACCCCAAATGCATTTGATAACAAATACTATGTTGACCTCATTAATCGACAAGGTCTGTTCACTTCCGATCAAGATTTGTTTACTGACAAGCAGACGAGATCAATCGTCACCAGCTTTGCCGCGAACCAGTCATTGTTTTTTGAGAAGTTTGTGTTGGCGATGATCAAGATGGGGCAGATGAGTGTGCTTACTGGGGTACAGGGAGATATTAGGGCTAATTGCTCTGCAAGGAACCCTTCAAGGTTTGTGGTACCCTTTGGTGGAGGGGGACAAGAGGGAGTTGCTGCCTCCTTTTAGATTGTGTACAAGACCCTTTGCTTTACTAAGATAACAGTTCTATCAGACAATTTACGTAAAAAATGGATTAGGGTTGGTCCTTTTTGGTCTGTCCCCCATTTCCATTGTATTCAACTGGTAGGACATTAAATTTCTTTGCAAGGATGCCCATAACCTGGTATGTAATTTGAAGTTCTGATTTTTTCCAATGAGAAAGTACATGGGTTTCTTCATATGGACTATACATGATAAGACGGTTCCTATTTAACTATCAACTTGTTTGTTAAACTTTTCAAAATTGCAATTCGTTTGATATTTCACATCCATAGCTACCCTCTTCCACTTTGACCAAAGTTTGAAAATTTGGCCTAGTCGACTCTTAATTGTTAATGGTGATTTGTGAGTTTTTTTTATCACTCGTTTCATTTTTTCTGTTTCCTCTTCTTTTTTGGATTTTCATGAATTGTTTTTAGTTATAACTCAAACCTTAGTTTCATCTATATCTTCTAAAAAAATGAATGAATGTTTTATTTTGGAAGGTTTAAATAAATTCAAGGATATTGTGTTTGATAATATATATATATATATATATATATTAACAATATAAATATAAATATATTATATTATATTATATAATAAATATTATGTATTATTATATTTTGCATAATATAATATTACATATGATATAATAAAAGGATGGAAAAAGTTTATATAAGGATGCAACCTTATAATGTAGAACTACGGATGCACTTCAAAAATCCATCGAAAAATGTAGTTTTAATGTTGAAAAACCTTTTGATTGATCATCTCGACATCGAGATGTATGACCATGAAAAATAAAAAGATTTTAAGTCTCGAAAATAGTGCATGTTACAACATATTATCTACACCATCCATTTTCAATATTTTCATATGTTTATAGATTAACTTGATTTTAACCATTTTTTAAATTTAAAATTTTATGATTAGATATAAAAATAGATTTTGAGATAATCCTAAGAGCATTTTACATCAAAATTATATGCCATATTAAAATTTGAAGGTGCACCTTACCTCTACAGCTACGGATGCATCTGTATGCTAACTGCACCTTAAAAGGATTGTATGCAATGAGACCACTTACTTTTGATACAAAGAGGTCACAGTTATTACAACCATCCAATGTGAAATTTGATAGCTTAGATGTGTCACAAAGTTCGAGAAAATTTCTTTTGAAGTTTGAGCTTGGTGAATGGAATATATGCAGCCATCCAAATTCACATCCAATGGTGACGATTATTTGTGGCCATCTTGTACCAAAGGTAAATAGGATCGTTATATATTTTCCTTATAATAAATATATATTATATATAATACAATATAAGATACTTATATATTATATATAATATATAATATTAGTATATTAGTATATTTTATATTGCATATAATATATAATCAATGCATATTATATAATGTAAATTACATTAATAAAAATATAAATATATAATTTAATATAATATTACTATAGCATAATATTATATTATAATATTATAGTAATATTATATTATATTATATCATATTAATATTATTAATATTATATTATGCATAGTGAATAGTGATAAACAAAAACGTTCTAAAATATTAAGTTCATATTCCCCTCGAACTTAATCTTTCATGTTTTAACAAAGGAATGGAAATTTTCTTGGAATATTGATTTTTGAACTTTTAGATGGAAACAGTATGTCAAACGCGAAACTTTTGAAAAATTAGAAAGATTTCTTACTTAAAAAATTCTTTCAGAAAAACAAATGCACCCCTAGTGCTTAAAAAATCGACTTGCCCCTTGCCCGAGCCTAATCCAGTTCTAGTTCAAAAAAATAAAAAGTCAAAAACTTAATTTATATATCGCAGCCTTTGCTTCAATGATGTTAGACGTTAAATGACTTGATGGTTAGGTCTTCCACACTTGGGGTTTCTCCATACGAAATGACTTGAGTTCAAATCAAGGGTCAACTCATTTTCAATTTATGTTTTTTTTTTTTTTAAAGTGTAATGTAGGAATATACACATACTTGTCATGATAAGGAAATTTTGGTAGCAAGTTCTTTTTTTTTTTTTAAAGTGTAATGTAGGAATAGACACATACTTGTCATGATAAGGAAATTTTTATAGCACGTTGATTAAAGGGTTAAGCTCGTACATTACCTCCTTTGTCAGAGGTCTTAGATTTGAATCCTTTTCCCAAACAAATTTTCCTATTTTTTTTAAAAAAAAATGAAGAAAAATAAATGTTTAAC